TTTTTTTTTTTTCTTTTAAGTTGAGGAAATTGAATTAAAGTACTGTCGGAATGTGGTCCGGATATTGGGTCTGAAAAGAACAAATGTTTGGCCATACTTAGTAAGTTTACTTTGAGTGTAATATTAAAATGAGTAATCTTTTAAGCTTAGCCAAACATGTTTTGCTCAAAGCCCAATGCAGACACAAAAGTTCGAGCAGTAGGGTTGAGACTGGGTGGTGTGCTCTTTTTTCTGCTTATTCCAGCTAACTCTCTCTTCTGCCTTGAATCATTTCCCGGGATGTCAAGGGTTACATTAGTGTTCTATATGATTAATTCTGTAATCGTTCTCAAATTTTTAACAGTCTGTTATGCCCAGAAACGAAATCACAGAAGCAGTAGGTATAAATAATCAATCAACAGATCAAAAAATGAATGTGTAACAAATGAAAGAAGAAAACGGAAGACTTTTTAGGTTGAAGCCATATAAATTCGATAATCACTTCCAATACCTAATCGTCTGTTAAACATCCACAAAGTGGATAACGCTCATGGCACTATTACGTAGTCAAAATGGCAACGAAGGTATACTAGAATTACAAATCACAAGCCAAACAGGCTTATTTTACGAGAAAACCTGCACAAACACCAAGGCCCTGTTTGATTGGGCCTTTTTTTCATGGAAAATGAAAATTTTTTTCTATTTTCCACCTTTTAGAAGTGTTTGATAGAAAATATTTTTCATGGAATTTTCTTGAAAAATGGTCTTTTCTTGGTTTTGTAGGTAGGCAGCCAATTTATTTTATTTTATTTTATTTTTTCGTTTCATTTTTTTATTATTATTATTTTATTTTATTTTTGTGGGTAATAGAAGCAAATTCTATCCCTAATTGTTAAAAAAAATATTTTCCTTTAATTGACAATTTCCTTGTAAAACAAAGTCAAACGAACACCAAAAAATAGATGATTTTTTTGGCCTTTTTTTGACAATCGAAACAAATTATATCCCCAATACCAATAAATTCTATCACTTTAACTGACAATTTTTATGTAAAATAAAGTCAAACGAATATTAAAAAATATTTTTATTTCAACATTTTTCATGTGGAAAATTATATTAATCAAACGCAATAATTGACGATTCTCACAAAAATAATTTTTAAGCAATTCAATTTCTTAGAATTCGTTTTCTTTCCACCCAAATTACATAGAGTCTGTTTGTGAATGATTTTGAGAATTAATTTTTTGACCGTTAAGAGAAAAGTGGGGTCTACCTGTGAGAAAAGAAGTCAAATATGACGGCTGGAATAGTGAAATAACTGTCAAAAAATCAATTTTTTTTGAGGAAAAATCGCTCCCAAACAGGCCCATATTTGCAATCAAACGGACCCTAATATTATGACCAAGAACGGAGTCTAATGTATACACATTTCTGTAGCACAGAGAATAGAGAACACCAGGTTTTCAATATATCAATACCAAGTAAAACTAGAAAGATATGAATTAAAAGAAACAGAGAAATTAGGATTTCTCGAGTAAGGTATTCAAGAGAGAATTTTTGAGAAAAAAGAGAGTCCTCATAGCAAAATCAAACTTGTCGTTCAAAAATGACAGAATCAAAGGGTTAAGCCAACAGAAGCATCCAAAAGACTTACCATAAGGCCACAAAATCAACAACGTATCACAATCACAGTAAAGGCTTCCAATAACAAAAACATCACTTTAAAAACAAAATTTTCAAATTTTGGTAGGACCAGAGTATGTAATTCCCATTAGAGTCACTGAAACTTCAATTTCTTTTTGGGTTAGTTTTTAGTTATTATAGATGAATTGTGTCCAAAGTCGTCTTCCTTCGTCAAATGCGTGTTTGAGAGTGATTATAAGTTGTTAGTCCCGTATAATGAATAATAAGGGAATAGTAATGCAGATGTGAAAAGCATGTTTCATTTACTTTAATTACTAAACTTCGTCAAACATGCACTAATTGAAAGAGTTGTTTGAAGATTGGAGAGTCTATATTTAAATTCTTGTGGTCAACACACTTTGTTTGGCTCCTGTACATGCCACACTAGCAAATCATCGAAGCATCTTTGTTGTATAATTTTGTTTCGCAAGTGTACGATCCGTAACAAGTAATAGTGGACCTAAGAGTCCGGTTATCGATCCCACGAGGACTATTTTGTAGCACTTAATTTAATCTTTCTTTAACTACTATTTGACGAATGTAAATCAAAAACAATGATTAAATGTGATTTTTACTCTAAAGACTTAAAATGTGATTGGATTCAATGAAAAGTGATTGAGAATTCAAACAATAAATGGACGTTAGGGCGGAACAATTTCACCTATTGGTCACCTCTACTTCATAAATCAAGATTCATAAAACCTAAGGTAGTGTTCGGTCGAATTCTTCTATTGTATTCAACTTACCCCTCTCGAGTTCTCATTGAGCCTACTTAATTAGTTTAATT